CATCTATCGGGAAGGATTTGATGATGTCTTCCTGTCTGTCAGAAAGGGGTGGATTGGATGGTCCTTTGGGTCTTTCCCAACGTTAGGATGCTATGATTCAACAGGGACTGGATGGCCATCTGTCGGGAGGGATTTGATGATGTCTTCCTGCCTGGCACAAAGGGGGTGGTATCTTCCAGCTCTATGACACCCAACACCCTTACTCTCCTCTTTCGCCTCCATACTGGCAGTCTCTTTGTGTTGATAATTCAGGAACGAGACATATGGTGCCAAGCGAGACCCCGGCTGCTGGGCATGACTGCCGGGCCACACCGTTGGGCTCGAAAGACACTGAAGGGTTTGTTCCTCATGAGAAGAAAGGGTGCCTGTGTGTTTGTATGTGTGTGGCAGCAGTGCGATGGGAGCCTTTGTCTGCCCGGCTCCTGCCTCTGACACACAAATGACTCCAGCAATGTTCGGTCGCAGAGAAAAGCAGTGGGAGTTTGCGTAGACACAAATGCCTGTGTTGGCAACTGGATCATCCAGTGGATCCACAGGCCAAGAGCCCCTTCACAAGCCGCAACAAGTGTTGGCATTGCCATGCTGGCAAGGAAGAGGAAGGAGCCATGGGCGTTGCAACGGTGCCAGCAGGAATCTATATACATAAAAATGTAATGTTCGTTTGTGGGATTAACAGAACTCCAAAACCACTGGATGAATTGACACCAAGTTTGGACAGCACACCCCTAACAGACCAACGAGTGTTCATCAACCTTAAAATGACAAAACAACAACAACAACACCAGCAGAACAGACTTAAAAAACCCCCAAAATACACCATATATATATATACACAGACACTCATGTACATATACACACACATACATACACATGTGTATATATATAGTATACCCAAGCACACACACGTATACATCTACATACACACACACATATACATATACACATGCACACATATATAAACACAAATATGCATATAGACAAGCACACACATATACACAATATACATATACAAATATATACACACATATATACACATCTTCACACACACATATGCACCCATACACACACACACACATGTACATATACACATACATACACATGTGTATATATATATAACCAAGCACACACAAATATACACACACATACATCTACATACACACACATCATATACACATGCACACATATATAAACACAAATATGCATATAGACAAGCACACACATATACACAATATACATATACAAATATATACACACATATATACACATCTTCACACACACATATGCACCCATACACACACACACATGTACATATACACATACATACACATGTGTATATATATATAACCAAGCACACACAAATATACACACACATACATCTGCATACACACACATCATATACACATGCACACATATATAAACACAAATATGCATAAAGACAAGCAGACATATATACACAATATACATATACAAATATATACACATCTTCACACACATATGCACACACATATACGCGCAAACACACATATATACATAGATAAACAAATATTTAAACACATATATACACACACACAAAACACATATATACAGACTGGGCCACAGCAAATACACACACACACTCATGTACATATACACACGCACACATATATAGACACGTGTGTATATATATACCCAAGCACACACAAATATAAACACACATACATCTACATACACACATATAGACAGATACAAATGCACACACAAATATACACATATATAAACACAAATATAAACACAAATATGCATATAGACAAGCACACACATATACACAATATACATATACAAATATACACACACACATATATACATCTTCACACATACATATCCACCTACATATATACACACACACACACAAACACACACATATATACATATATATAAAGATGCACAAATATTTAAACACATATATATACACACACAAAACACATATATACAGACTGTGCCACAGCAAATACACACACACACTCATGCCCAAATGTGGACACTGGTGGAGTTTGGGGGAAATAGACCTTGACATTTGGGAGCTGCTGGGACTTATAGTTAATCTACAATCAAAGAGCATTCTGACCTCACCAATGATGGAATTGAACCAATCTTGGCACACAGAACTCCCATGACTGACAGAAAATACTGGGTTTGGTGAGCATTGATCTTGAGTTTGGGAGTTTGAGTCTGAGGATGATGGTCCTCCAAGAGTGGTAATCTGGGGGTGGATCCGTAGGTGGCTGTGGATCCCTATTCTTGATCTGCATCTTTGGAAGTTGTAGTTCACCTATATCCAGAGAGCAAACTTGGCACATATACTCAATATGCCCAAATGTGGAAAACTGGTGGGATTTGGGGAAAAAAGACCTTGACATTTGGGAGTTGTAGTTGCTGGGATTTATAGTTCATCTACAATCAAAGAGCATTCTGAACTCCACCAATGATGGAATTGAACCAAACTTGGCACACAGAACTCCCATGACTGACAGAAAATACTGGGCATTGATATTTGGTGGGCATTGATCTTGAGTTTGGGAGTTGTAGTTCACCTACATCCAGAGAGCACTGTGGACTCAGACAATGATGGATCTGGACCAACCTTGGCACAAATACTCCATATGCCCAAATGTGAACACTGGTAGGATTTGGGGAAAATAGACCTTGACATTTGGGAGTTGTAGTTACTGGGATTTATAGTTCACCTCCAACCGAAGAGCATTCTGAACCCCACCAACAATAGAATTGGGCCAAACTTCCCACACAGAATCCCCATGTATTGAAGAGACTCGCTGATGCGAGTCTCCCTCCAGCCTCGCATGCTCTTCCTTGCTTGCACATGCGCAGAGGTAATTTTCAACGGTAAGCAAATAGTATTTTGGCACCCCCCCCCCCCACACACACACACACACCAATCACTGATATATATTTTCTGTTCGTCGTGGGAGTTCTCTGTGTCATATTTGGTTCAATTCCATCATTGGTGGAGTTCAGAATGCTCTTTGATTGTAGGTGAACTATACATCCCAGTAACTACAACTCGCATATGTTAAGGTCTATTTCCCCCAAATCCCACCAGTGTTCACATTTGGGCATATTGAGTATTTGTGTCAAGTTTAGTCCGGATTTATCATTGTCTGAGACCACAGTGCTCTCGGGATATAGGTGAACTACAACTCCCAAACTCATGAGCGCCCCTGGGCAAAATCAACTATACTACAAACACTTACTTTGCGTATGGGTTGAGCCGCCCCTGCAAATGCGCTGAGTACGCATGCTCTCCCCTCCCGGCTTGGAGCCACAAACAGCCCTGCTCTTGGATGAGAGGTCAGCTGAGAGGCCAGCCAATCACAACAGGAGGAGGGCTTTTGATGGGAGGATTCACCTTCTCAACCTGAGAAAGGACAGGTGGAGAGATCTTAAGCCTTCTCTGCCAAAGGGGTTCTTAAGACCATCAACATAAAAAGGTTCAATAATAATAATAATAGAAGACTTTGACACAAGCCAGTCAAGGTGATCCCAGTGGTGATCGGCACGCTGGCCTGCACTTAAACACAATCGGTGCTGACAAAATTACCATCTGCCATCTGCAAAAGGCCACCTTGCTGTTTTCTGATGGTCTTTGGCGACCCCTCTGAGCCCCCCTCACGACCCCCCCCCCGAGGGTCCCAACCCCAGGTTGAGAAATGCATCTCCATGAAGTCGAGGAGGAATTTAAAAGGGTCTCGCCCTGAAGGAGAGACCCTGCGGACCCACCAAAGAGGGCTCGCTACTTTGGTGAGCAAAAGAAAGGAGAAGCCGCAATTAAAAGATTTCCCTAAGTTCCCAAAAGAATCTCACCAAAGCTGAAGGAAGCGCCACCGAATTGATTTTATTGCGATCCAGCTGGAAAGGATGCAAAGCCGCAACAATTCGTCAAGCAAAGCATAACGTGTACACAAATAAAAGCCTTTTTTATATAGAAACAGAGCTGTCAGATTTGAATTTCCCGCTCCCCGCCCCTCTGCCCGCTCGGCGATGATTGGCTGGCGCTCTACAGCTGGGAGGAGGCTTGGCCGCCTCCTGAGCGTTTTGGCCAATCGCTGAGCTTCTGCCGCCTCGGCTTCCTGACCAATCAGGAGGGAGGGAGGCGGGACGAGAGGGAAACAATGAATTCTTGAATGGATTATGGAGATAGGTAGTGTCCAAATGGCTGACGAGTCCTCAGGGGGGCCTTCTAGCCAGCCAGCCTATTGTCTTTGATTGGTGGCAATAAACATTGAAGACTGGCAAGCCTGCCAAAATCCTGATTTTCCTGGTGCTGAGATATGGAAACAATGAGGCAATTTTGGCTGAAGTTTCGGTGGAGGAAGGTTTGAATGAGCAATGATCAGGACAAAGTGTGGCTTTCCGAAGGCCCTTTTGTCCTGTTGAGATATGATCATCATGGGAAGGGTCCTTGTTGTTGTTGTCGTTAGTGTCTTGGCAAATTGACCCTTATTATCCAGGCTAGTGTCCTTGTCCTTAGCAAAACTATAAGTTACTATCTTTTATGGGGGGGGGGGGTTCATGTTTGACTTCATCCTTTCCTGTCATTTGAACCCATTGCTCCTCACCCTCGTCTCGAGGAAAGCTCTCCTTTCCCTGCCACTCTCCCCACCTCGCTGCCGTGCCCTTGGGGGGAAAATGCGGCTTATGCCAACATAACTTCCCGTAATGATGGAGTAAGTCACTCAAAGGATTCCAGCCACTGCGTGGTAGTGATATATTGTCTATTTTCATGTGCTGCTCTTGAAGAGTAATATAATTTGACTTCGTCTCCATTCCAAGCAAAGCTTGGCCTGCCATGTGTCCATTTGCCTGGCCTCGGAGCATTGCCAGGAAAGCGAAAAGAAGGACGGCGCCCATTACTTAGAGATGGTGGCTTTCTATTTTACGTTGTCCCCTCCGGCGTGTTTTGGGAACTGAGATGGGTTTTTGTTTTGTTTTGTTTCCCTCCCTAGGAAATACATTGAAATAAAAATTATTGATGACGAGGAGTATGAGAAGAACAAGAATTTCCACCTGGAGCTGGGACCACCGGAGATGCTGGACACGGGCCCACGGCACGGTCAGTGCAGAGGAAAGGCACCAAAGGGAAGGGAAGGTTGGCACGGGAGGAGGAAAAGAGTATATGGTTTGCCAAAGGGATGGCCTTAAGGGCGAGGGATGGGCTGAGGACCACATATAGCAGGGGAATTAAGGAAAATATGGGATCGACATGGATGAGAAATGGCTATCTCACGCCCCATTTGGGGCCCAGAAGCAAACTGGTGATAATATAGCCTGATCTGCAACAATACCCAGTTCTTTTGTATTAAGCAATTATCTATCTATCTATCTATCTATCTATCTATCTATCTATCTATCTATCTATCTATCTACCTACCCATCCATCCAATATAATAACATCTATCGATCATCTATACATCTATCTATCTTATATCCATCCATCCAACAAAATCTATCTTCTATCTATCCATATAATAAAATCTATCTATCTATCATCTAGTATCCATCCATCCATCCATCCATCTAATAAAATCTATCTTCTATACATCTATCTATCTTCCATCTTTCCATATAATAAAATCTATCAATCTGTCTATCTGTCTATCTATCTGTCTATCTATCTATCTATCTATCTATCTATCATCTATCTATCTATCTATCTATCTATCTATCTATCATCTCATCTATCTATCTATCTATCTATCTATCTATCTATCTATCATCTATCCATCCATCCATCCATCCATATAATAAAATCTATCGTCTATACATCTATCTTCTATATATCCATATAAAATCTATCAATCTGTCTATCTGTCTATCTGTCTGTCTATCTATCTATCTATCTATCTATCTATCTATCTATCTATCTATACATCCATCTAATAAAATGTATCTATCTATCTATCTATCTATCTCTATCTATCATCTATCCATCCATCCATCCATCCATATAATAAAATCTATCGTCTATACATCTATCTTCTATATATCCATATAAAATCTATCAATCTGTCTATCTGTCTATCTATCTGTCTATCTATCTATCTATCTATCTATCTATCTATCTATCTATACATCCATCTAATAAAATGTATCTATCTATCTATCTATCTATCTATCATCTATCCATCCATCCATCCATCCATATAATAAAATCTATCGTCTATACATCTATCTTCTATATATCCATATAAAATCTATCAATCTGTCTATCTGTCTCTATCACCTATCCATCCATCCATCCATCCATCCATCCACCATCCATCCATCCAATAAAATGTATCTATTAGGGCTGGGCGGTTTTGTTCGTTAATTTCGTAATTCGTTATTGATTCGTATTTAAATTAGCTTACGATCCGATATTGAGCCATGCAGGAGCAACTAAAAATCGAAACGAATTTTTCAATTTATTTCGTAATTGTTTCGTAATTGGTTCGAAATCGTTTCGAAATCGTTTCGAAATCGTTTCATTATTTCCGTATGTCTGGTGCAAGTTTTATAGTTGTTGTTTGTTTTATCAGTGATAAAAAAATAAATTATCACACCAACAGTCAACAACAGAGGGAGAGGGAAGCTTCAGAAGTTCCCCCTGTCCCATTTGGAGGGTTTTTTAGCGTATTGCGCAATCGTGTCCGCCATTAACGAATCGATTCGTTATTGTTTCGAAATTAATTTCCGAAATTTCGTAAATATCGAACTTTTTTAAAGAAAAATTCGGAATTCTTTTAAAAAACGAAACGCAAAAACCCCCTAAAAACAAATCAAGTTTAGAAACAAATTTTTCCGTGGTTGCCCAGCCCTAATATCTATCTATCTATCTATCTATCTATCTATCTATCTATCTATCTATCTATCTATCTATCTATCTAGTCTATGGATGGTGGAACTCCCTGCCACAAGGCTTGCAATGATGCCAATCTTCCATACAGTCACTTAAGGATGCAGTTCCTTTCTATCTATCTATTATCTATCTATCTATCTATCTATATCTATCTATCTATCTATCTATCTATTCTATCTATCTTCATATCCATCCATCCATATCTATCTATCTATCTATCTATCTATCTATCTATCTTCTATACATCTATCTATCTTCCTATCCATCCATCCAATAAAATCTATCTATCTATCTATCTATCTATCTATCTATCTATCTATCTATCTATCTATCTATCTATCTATTATCTATCTATCTATCTATCTATCTATCCACCCACCCACCCACCCTCCATCCATCACTATCTACTACTCCATCCATCCATCCATCCATCATCCATCCATCTATCATCTATCTATCTTCTATACATCTAACTATCTTCTATACATCTCTATCTATCAATCCATCTATCTATCTAGATCTATCTATCTATCTATCTATCTATCCATCCATCCATCCATCCATCTAATAAAATCTATCTTCTATACATCTACCTATCTATCCGTCTGTCTGTCAGTCTGTCTATCTATCTACCTATCCATCCAATAAAATCTATCTATCTATCTATCTATCTATCTATCTATCTATCTATCTATCCTCTCTGTTGTTGTGCTGTTCTAATTTTAGAGTTTTTTAATACTGGTAGCCAGATTTTGTTCATTTTCATGGTTTCCTCCTTTCTGTTGAAATTGTCAACATGCTTGTGTATTTCAATGGCTTCTCTGTGTAGTCTGACATGGTGGTTGTGAGAGTGGACAGCACAACAACAGAGGAAACAAACAAGGACATCTAATCACCTCTCAACAAAAGTTTGCTCCAGGCACTGTCAGGCCATTAAATGCTAATCAAGGTGGTCAGTTGAAACATTCACACCTAGCTCTAGCAGACAAGAGTCCTTTGTCCCACCCTGGTCATTCCACAGATATATAAACCCTTTTTCCTAGTTCCAACAGACCTCACTACCTCTGAGGATGCTTGCCATAGATGCAGGCGAAACGTCAGGAGAGAATGCCTCTAGAACATGGCCATATAGCCCAAAAAACCCTACAACAACCCAATAATAATAATAATAATAAATAATAATAATAATAATAATGCAGTGAAAGAATGGAAACTGAGTTGTTTGTGGGCAACGAAAGCTTTGGAATTGTTTACATCAAGAGAGGCATTTTCCAGGGCGACTCACTGTCACCACTGTTGCTCATCATTGCAATAATCCCACTGTCAGTAATTCTACAGAAAACAAACCTTGGCTACTAAACGACAAGAAATTCACCAAAATTTTCCCACTTGCTGTGCTTCTTTGAATTCCATAGCACTGCTGGTCACAGCTGACCTCCAGTTAGAGCACTCAAGGGCCATGGCCAGGGATTCAATCCACAGATCACAACTGGAGAGAAAGTTTGAACATGGCAAAGAGCAAAGTTACTGGTTTGTTGTTTGGGGATACAGGATATCATAGAATCATAGAATCAAAGAGTTGGAAGAGACCTCATGGGCCATCCAGTCCAACCCCATTCTGCCAAGAAGCAGGAATATTGCATTCAAATCACCCCTGACAGATGGCCATCCAGCCTCTGTTTAAAAGCTTCCAAAGAAGGAGCCTCCACCACACTCCGGGGCAGAGAGTTCCACTACTGAACGGCTCTCACAGTCAGGAAGTTCTTCCTAATGTTCAGATGGAATCTCCTCTCTTGTAGTTTGAAGCCATTGTTCTGTGTCCTAGTCTCCAAGGAAGCAGAAAACAAGCTTGCTCCCTCTCCCTGTGGCTTCCTCTCACATATTTATACATGGCTATCATATCTCCTCTCAGCCTTCTCTTCTTCGGGCTAAACATGCCCAGCTCCTTAAGCCGCTCCTCATAGGGCTTGTTCTCCAGATCCTTGATCATTTTAGTAGCCCTCTTCTGGACACATTCCAGCTTGTCAATATCTCTCTTGAATTGCGGTGCCCAGAATTGGACACAATATTCCAGGTGTGGTCTAACCAAAGAATAGAGGGGTAGCATTACTTCCCTAGATCTAGACACTATGCTCCTATTGATGCAGGCCAAAATCCCATTGGCTTTTTTTGCCGCCACATCACATTGTTGGCTCATGTTTAACTTGTTGTCCACGAGGACTCCAAGATCTTTTTCACACGTACTGCTCTCGAGCCAGGCGTCCCCCATTCTATATCTTTGCATTTCGTTTTTCCTGCCAAAGTGGGAACGTAGTAACTATTCCGAAAGTTGGGCAGGAAGAGGTTGGATGCTCATCTTTTTCCCATTCTTTCAACCCAGGGGACTCCAACGAGAACCGACTGCCCGAAGGAGGAGAAGCGATTGCCAAGATGGGCTGCCCCACTCTGGGAGAGTACACCAAACTTGAAGTTATTATCGAGGAGTCCTACGAGTTCAAGGTAAGACGACACATAGAAATGCCTTGGGTTTGTTTGAAAATAGAAATGTGTGTCTGCATGTCTTTGCATCCACCCCACTGAAGTTCTCCCTTGCCCCCTTCTTTTCCAGAGCACTGTGGACAAATTGATCAAGAAAACCAACTTGGCGCTTGTCGTTGGCAGCAGCAGTTGGAGGGAGCAGTTTGTGAGCGCCGTCACCGTCAGCGCTGGTATGTTTGGGAAGACGGGTTACATACTCCACGTCTGAATGGTACATTTAGCTCTGCAACTAGTGTTAACTCTGCATTACTTATGCATGTGCCTTCGTTGGGAAATGGGGTGAACAATCATAGTGTGTAAAGTTGGGAGAGACTTCAAAGGACTCTAAGTGTGATTTATTTATTGTGTCAGTGCAACCAGTCGATTATATTACATTTCTAACAGAACAAAGCAAAAAAAAAAAACCCCAGAAAAATACAAAATTTGTGAGTTTGGTAGTTGATTAGATGTCCTTTGACCAGTATCTGGCCACTTGGAGTGCTTTTGGTGCAAGAAGGCCCTCCATTGTGCATGTGGCTGGGTTCAGGTTGCATTGCAGCAGGTGGTCAGTGGTTTGCTCCTCTCCACACTCACATGTCGTGGATTCCACTTCGTAGCCCCATTTCTGAAGGTTGGCTCTGCATCTCGTGGTGCCAGAGCGCAGTCTGTTCAGCGCCTTCCAAGTTGCCCAGCTCTCTGTGTGCCCAGGGGGGAGTCTCTCATTTGGTATCAGCCAATGGTTGAGGTTCTGGGTTTGAACCTGCCACTTTTGGACTCTCGCTTGCTGAGGTGTTCCGGCGAGTGTCTCTGTAGATCTTAGAAAACTATTTCTAGATTTAAGTCGTTGACGTGCTGGCTGATACCCAAACAGGGGATGAGCTGGAGATGTCTCTGCCTTGGTCCTTTCACTATTGGCTGCTATTTCCCGGCAGATGTCAGGTGATGCTATACCGGCTAAGCAGTGTAATTTCTCCAGTGGTGTAGGGCGCAGACACCCCGTGATAATGCGGCATGTCTCATTAAGAGCCATATCCACTGTTTTAGTGTGGTGAGATGTGTTCCACACTTGGCATGCGTACTCAGCAGCAGAGTAGCAAAGTGCAAGGGCAGATGTCTTCACTGTGTCTGATTGTGATCCCCAGGTTGTGCCAGTCAGCTTTCGTATGATATTGTTTCTAGCACCCACTTTTTGCTTGATATTTAGGCAGTGCTTCTTGTAGGTCAGAGCACGGTCCAGAGTGACTCCTAGGTATTTGGGTGCGCTGCAATGCTCCAGTGGGATTCCTTCCCAGGTCATCCTCAGAGCTCAAGACGCTTGTCTGTTTAAGATAAAAAGCACACGTCTGAATTTTAGATGAAATCAGCTGGTTTCCTCTGTAATAGGCAGTAAGACCATCTAAAGCTTCAGAGGGCTTCTGTTCAATCATTTCAAAGCTCCCTGCTTGAGCAGTGATGGCACAATCATCAGCGTAGATGAAATTCTCTGTCTCTTCGGGTAATGGGTGATTATATGTGTAAATGTTAAAACATCGATGGAGTAAGCACCCTCCCCTGAGGCAGGCCATTCTGTTTCCGCCAACTGCTTCTCTGGCCCTGGAACTCAACAAAAAGCTCCTGTTTTGTAGCAGATTTCCTATGAAGTGGGTGAGGTGGTAGTCCTTTGTGATGTTATAGATTTTTTATGATTTACAGTATCATAAGCTGCTGACAGGTCAATGAAAACAGCCTCCATAGTCTGCCCAGAACATGACACAAGGTTATTCTTTCCTCCTCCCCACCCCCCCTTTTTTTTACAGGTGATGATGAAGATGACGACTCTGGCGAGGAGCGCCTCCCTTCCTGCTTCGATTACATCATGCACTTCCTGACCGTCTTCTGGAAGGTCCTCTTTGCCTTCGTGCCGCCCACCGAGTACTGGTGTGGCTGGGCCTGCTTCTTCGTCTCCATCTGTCTCATCGGGGTGCTCACGGCCCTCACCGGGGACCTGGCTGCCCACTTCGGCTGCACCATCGGCCTCAAGGACTCTGTCACGGCTGTGGTTTTCGTGGCGCTGGGCACCTCCGTGCCTGGTCAGTGAGGGCAGGGGGGAGGGCATCATGGGTGACATGCAATGGGGTGGGAAAGCCTTCTGCAAAGATCAGGTGGAATCATAGAGCTGGAAGGACAATCGCTTCAATGCTGGTGGTCTTTGCTTCTTCCAGCACGCTGACATTTGTCCGCTTGTCTTCCCAAGAGATTTGCAGGATTTTTTGGAGGCAGTGCTGATGGAATCGTTCCAGGAGTTGCATGTGACGTCTGTAGACAGTCCATGTCTCGCAGGCGTATAGCAGGGTTGGGAGGACAATAGCTTTATAAACAAGCCCCTTGGTGTCCATACGGATGTCTCAGTCCTCGAACACTCTCTGTTTCATTCGGAAAAAATGCTGCACTCACAGAGCTCAGGCGGTGTTGTATTTCGGTGTCAAATGTTGACATCTGTAGACAGTCCACGTTTCGCAGGCATATAGCAGGGTTGGGAGGACAATAGCTTTATAAACAAGGCACTTGATCTCCCTACGGATGTCCTGGTCCTCAAACACTCTCTTCTTTATTCAGAAAAATGCTGCACTCGCAGAGCTCAGGCAGTGTTGTATTTCGGTGTCAAATGTTGACATCTGTACACAGTCCACGTTTCGCAGGCATATAGCAGGGTTGGGAGGACAATAGTTTTTTAAACAAGCACCTTGGTCTCCCTACAGATGTCCCGGTCCTCAAACACACTCTGCTTCATTCGGAAAATGGCTGCACTCGCAGAGCTCAGGCGGTGTTGTATTTTGGTGTCAAATGTTGACATCTGTAGATATGTTTCGCAGGCGTATAGTAGGGTTGGGAGGACAATAGCTTTATACACAAGCACTTTGGTCTCCCTACGGATGTCCCAGTCCTCAAACACACTCCGAATGAAGTGTGCCCTCGCAGAGTTCAGGCAGTGTTGTATTTCGGTGTCAAATGTGGACATCTGTAGATAGTCCACATTTCGCAGGCGTATAACAGGGTTAAGAGGACAATAGCTTTATATCCCTACGGATGTCCCAGTCCTCACTCTCTGCTTCATTCAGAAAAATGCTGCACTCACAGTGTTGCATTTCAGTGTCAGTGTTGACTTTGGTGGAGAGGTGGCTGCCAAGAGAGCGGAAACAGTCCACATTTTCTAATGTTACACCATTAAGCTGTACTTCTGGCATTGGAGAGGGATTGGCCGGTGAGTGCTGGAAGAGCACTTTGGTGTTTTCGATGTTCAATAACAGGCCGAGCTTCTCGTATGCTTCTGGGAAGGTGTTTAGAGCTAGCTTTGTGTTGCATGGCACTGCAGAATGGCGCAAAGCCTGTCCCTGCAGCCTGGGTTTGCAAAAGGCGCAGCTTCTTCGTTTCCATATATACAGGAAGACTTAAGACATGGAGGAAAAATGCTTGAGCAGCCAGAAAGGGCAAGGATTGCCAGAATGCAAATACGTACGGTTGCTCTTTCCAGAGAACATTGTCCCTAGCTGCAGAGAGATGAGAGCTTGGGAAATACAGTTTTGGATGACAGCTCCCAGAACCAGGATGGCCAGGATGATAGGTTTGATATCCCACCAGGGATGCGCTCTCCCTCGTCATCCGTGTGTTCCCACGCCGTTTTGGCCTGAAGCAAGCCCCTTCTTGCGATGTTGAAGGTGCAGCTCGGCTCCGGTGCATATTAATGACTTGGATGAAAAAGCAGGAAATTTCACTCGAGGGCTCTGTGGCTGGCAAAGCCGGAGGCAGCGGCTGAAAGAGAAGGAAGAGGCGGTTGCGCTTCACCGGCTCTCTGGAGAACGGGATTAGAAAAGGGGAAAGTGAGAGGGATAATTCCCAGTGTCAGAAAACGAGAGGAGCGCCATCCCTATTAAGTGCTTAAATACCCTTTACTTAGGAGATCCCTTATTGTCTGAGTAGGATTGTCTTTCAAGATTGGTGTCCGTAGGTGACTGTGGAACCCGATTCTTGACCTATATCTTCTCCCGCATTTTCCAGGTGGAAGGGGTTGGCTTGACGCACCTTTCTCTTGGCACGTTTCTCTCTTTCTCCCTCCATTCGTGCCTCTTCAAATTCTGCAGCACTGCCGGTCACAGCTGACCTCCAACTGGAGCGCTCAAGGGCCATTACTTCCCAGTTCTCAGTGTCTATGCCAGAGTTTTGAACCCATCTTTCTATCTCTTTTCCTGCCCACCGACATTCCGTTTTCCGTTCTTGAGTTCGGAGTAGAGCAACTGCTTTGGGAGACGGTGGTCGGGCATCCACCGTCTCCCATGGCAGGTCCAGCGGAGTTGATGGCGGAGGACCATCGCTTCAATGCTGGTGGTCTTTGCTTCTTCCAGCACGCTGACCTTTGTCCGCTTGTGTTCCCAAGATATTTGCAGGATTTTCCAGAGACAACGCTGATGGAATCGTTCCAGGAGTTGCATGTGACGTCTGTAGACAGTCCACGTTTCACAGACATAGAGCAGGGTTGGGAGGACAATAGCTTTATAAACAAACACCTTGGTGTCCCTACGGATGTCCCGGTCCTCAAACATTCTCTGCTTCATTCGAAAAAATACTTGCCATAGATGCAGGCGAAACGTCAGGAGAAATGCCTCTAGAACATGGCCATATAGCCCGAAAAAACCCACAAGAACTTAGTATTTCACAGATACATAAACCCCATTTTCCTAGTTTCCAACAGACCTCACAACCTCTGAGGATGCCCTGCCATAGATGCAGGCGAAATGTCAGGAGAGAATGCTTCTGGAACATGGCCAGACAGCCTAAAAAACTTACAACAACCTGCAGAAAGCATTATTTGGTAGACTGAACAATGCAACTGGCAGTTAATATTGATGGCAACCAATCCATTAGTGGGACTCCAAGGCATGATTGAAATGGATTCAGAGGCAGATTAAACTAACTGTAATTAACAAACAATTACAGCACTTTGCTAATCACGTTAACAGCCACAGCTCCATCCTATAGCAACCTGGGATTTGTAGTGTGATGATCATAATTTTCTTCCGGAGAGCTCTAATGCTTCATCAAGCTACATACTGGATAGTACATAGCAATTCACAAAGAAGGAATGCTTCCCCTCCACTTCGATGCGATTTATGGCCACCCCATTAATTTTCAAGTAGCCAAATATGTAGCCAAAGAAGAACAAGAGAAAAATAGTAAACACCAGTCCTAGTTAATAACAATTATGTAAAAAGTAAGCTAGGCTAAAAAGCAAGAGATTCCTAAGCTTCTGTGAATAGTGGTGGAGTTTGGGGAAAATAGACCTCGGCATTTGGGAGTTGTAGTTGCTGGGATTTATAGTTCACATACAATCAAAGAGCATTCTGAGCTCCACCAACGATGGAATTGAACCAAACTTGACACAGAACTCCCATTATCAACAGAAAATACTGGAAGGGTTTACTGGACATTGACCTTGAGTTTTGGAGTTGTAGTTCACCTACATCCAGAGAGAACTGTGGACTCAAACAATGATGGATCTTGACCAAATTTGGCACAGATACTCAATATGCCCAAATGTGAACAGTGGTGGAGTTCGGGGAAAATAAACCTCGACATTTGGGAGTTGTAGTTGCTGGGATTTATAGTTCACCTACAATCAAAGAGCATTCTGAACCCCACCAAGGATGGAATTGAACCAAACTTGGCACACAGAACTCCCATGACTGACAGAAAATACTGGAAGGCTGTACGTATTTGCATTCTGGCTGGACATTGACCTTGAGTTTTGGACTTGTAGTTCACCTACAACCAGAAAGCACTGTGGACTCAAACAATGATGAATCTTGACCAAATTTGGCACAGATACTCAATATGCCCAAACGTGAACAGTGGTGGAGTTTGGGGAAAATAGACCTCGACATCTGGGAGTTGTAGTTGCTGGGATTTATAGTTCACCTACAATCAAATAGCATTCTGAACCCCACCACGGATAAAATTGGGCCAAAGTTTGCACACAGAACCCCCATGCCTTGGAGGGACTCGCAGGTGCGAGTCTCCCTCCAGCCTTGCATGCTCTCCCTTGCCCGCACATGCGCACCAGGCTGCCATGCATCGAGCACACCTGCTCTCCCCTCCCTTCTTGAGTCTCAGAAACACCGCTCCCCTTGGATGAGAGGCTGGCCAACCACAGCAAAGGAGGGCTTTTGGTGGGAAGATTCATAATCAGTTTCCAAAAAGGAAGAGAATGACAGGTGGAGAGATCTTCAACTTTCTCTGCCAAATATTTTAGTAAAGGTAAAGGTAGTCCCCTGACATTAAGTCCAGTCATGTCTGACTCTGGGGTGTGGTGCTCATCTCCATTTCTAAGCCGAAGAGCCAGCGTTGTCCATAGACACCTCCAAGGTCATGTGGCTGGCATGACTGCATGGAGCGCCGTTATATTTTAGGGAGACGTATATAGCTATATTTCGAGATGCCAAGAGTGACCATAGTAACTTCCTGAAAGTGGGGAAGTAGAAGTCTAGGCAGTCTTAATCTGAGTTAACCTGTGTTTCCTCTTCAGTGAAATCTCTTTCTTCTCTTCGTCTTGCAGATACCTTTGCCAGCAAAGTGGCTGCCATCCAAGACCAGCATGCGGACGCTTCCATCGGCAACGTGACAGGCAGCAACGCCGTCAACGTCTTCCTGGGCATCGGGGTGGCTTGGAGCATTGCCGCCGGCTACTGGGCCAGCCAGGGCAAGCCGTTTGTCGTGCATCCGGGCACGCTGGCCTTCTCGGTCACCCTCTTTACCATCTTTGCCTTCGTCAGCATCGCCGTGCTCATGTACCGGCGCCGCCAGCCGGTCGGCGGAGAACTGGGCGGGCCTCGAACCCACAAGATCCTCGCCACCCTCCTCTTTGTGAGCCTCTGGCTGATCTACATCCTCCTGGCAGCCTTGGAAGCCTACTGCCACATCACGGGCTTCTAGGCTGCGGGTCTCGTGGGCTTCGAGGCTAGGCCTTGAGAGACCGATCCTTGGATGACTTGGAAGGAGATACCCTTCACCCCGACCCCATGGCTCCGTTCAACACGGGGACATTGTCTCTCCTGTTGCTTCGAGGGGAAGACTTTGCCCAACACTGACCTGTGGTTGGTGACAGCGGTGACCAAAAATGGGCTTATCCTGCAAGGCCCTGGGTCAAACTCCGACTCTTCTTCTACGATGGACCACGGAGAGGGTCTTCCTCCTCCATTTGGAGACCTGGAGCTGCTTCCGTCTCCTAGTTTCTTGCCTCCTCTGGCAAATTGCCTCTTGGGAGAACATCGGGTTTGGGGAACGTAACATCTTGAGAACTTGTGTTTGAGGAACACTAGTATCTTCGAGACCATTGTGTTTGAGGAACACTAGTGTCTTCTAGACCATTGTGTTTGAGGAACACTAGTGTCTTCGAGACCATTGTGTTTGAAGAACACTAGTGTCTTCGAGACCATTGTGTTTGAGGAACACTAGTGTCTTCTCTACCATTGTGTTTGAGGAACACTAATGTCTTCGAGACCATTGTGTTTGAAGAACATTAGTGTCTTCGAGACCATTGTGTTTGGGGACCACTAGTGTCTTAGAGATGCATCTTCTGCCATTCTAGTTCTGTATGGGGACGGTTGCAAGAGATTCAAACAATGGTAAGGTAGGCCATGGGTTATTTCTCCTCTGCTGTTCTGAGTGAACAAGAAAGTCTCCAACGGTGGGAAGAAAGAAAATGACACCAATCCCTTCCGTAGCCAGCTCTTGCCACCTTTACAAATGTAGGATGGGTTCGATCATGCCAGGTCCATACAAGCACCCAGTCCCAGCTCGTTGTCCTCTGATCCAAGCTGAGGGCACTTTAGACCCTGAAGGTTGGACGTCTGAACCATGTCCGTTGTTGACTCAATCTTTGGGTGCATTGAGGTGAGACTGGCGCTATCTGTTCTCCTCCCGGCCAAATACGAGGGGTGTTCGTTGAAGATCTCCCCTGATCCACTTCTGTTTATCACAGGACGCTGAAACTGCACATGTGTGATGATAGAAGTCTCCATAGGTCACGTGTCAATTGACAACTCAGAATTGTTGACAGTCTTGATCATACTGAAGTGGTGTGAGGTTTGAGAATGGACCCAGTGGAAGACTTGAAAGGCCGCACACCAAAGGAGACGTTGGATGACATGGAAGAGGTTGATGGTGAGGATTCCCCATCATATGATGGAGTCCATCATATTCCAATGTGGTTGGACTTGGATGCAAACACCTCCGATTCCAGGGCAACCCCACTCTGCTATTGATGAACACACCATCCAGCAAGTGGAGGTCGCCATTTGGAAAATTGTCGTATAACCCTTTGCCGCTTAGCCCAAAATGTCAAGATGAGTGTGGGGTCCATGGGGGAAAAAATCATCCAAGAGCATCTTCACATGCATAAGGTGTCCACTTGCTGGGTCCTCCATCTGCTCACACCTTTCCAGAAGCAGAAACGAGTCGCATGCTCAGAGGCTCTCTCGACAATGATGTGCCATGGAAACCAGGAAGACTCTTTCAACAGACTGATCACACAGGAGGAAAGTTGGGTCCATCTTACTTAGGTGATCCCTCGTTGACCGAGTAGGATAGTCTTCCAGGATCAGTATTCTGGTGAGTCTGTAGGTGACTGTGAAGCCCTATTCTTGACCTGCATCTTCTCCCACAGTGAGGACATTGGTTTCCAGGTGGAAGGCGGTCTCAGTCGGGGTTGGCTTGACGCACCTTCCTCTTGGCATGTTCTCTCTTTCGCCCTCCATTCGTGCCTCTTCAAATTCTGCAGCACTGCTGGTCACAGCTGACCTCCAGCTGGAGCGCTCAAGGGCCAGGGTTTCCCAGTTCTCAGTGTCTATGCCAGAGTCTTTAAGGTTGGCTTTGAGCCCATCTTTAAATCTCTTTTCCTGCCCACCAACATTCCGTTTTCCGTTCTTGAGTTCGGAGTAGAACTACTGCTTTGGGAGACGGTGGTCAGGCATCCAGACAACGAGGTTGATGGTGGAGGACCATCTCTTCAATACTGGTGGTCTTTGCTTCTTCCAGGACGCTGACATTTGTCCGTTTGTCTTCCCAAGAGATTTGCAGGATTTTCCAGAGGCAGCACTGATGGAATCGTTCCAGGAGTTGCCTGTAACATCTGTAGACTGTCCACGTCTCACATGCATATAGCAGGGTTGGGAGGACAATAGTTTTATAAACAAGCATCTTGGTATCCCAATAGATGTCCCGGTTCTCAAACACTCTCTGCTTCATTTGGAAAAATGCTGCACTCGCAGAGCTCAGGCGGTGTTGTATTTCAGTGTCAGTGTTGACATCTGTAGACAGTCCACGTCTCGCAGGAGTATAGCAGGGTTGGGAGGACAATAGCTTTATAAACAAGCACATTGGTATCCCTACGGATGTCCTCAAACACTCTCTGCTTCATTTGGAAAAATGCTGCACTTGCAGAGTTCAGGCGGTGTTGTATTTCAGTGTCAATGTTGACATCTGTAGACAGTCCACGTTTCGCAGGCATATAGCAGGGTTGGGAGGACAATAGCTTTATAAACAAGCACATTGGTATCCCTATGGATGTCCTCAAACACTCTCTGCTTCATTTGGAAAAATGCTGCACTCGCAGAGCTCAGGCGGTGTTGTATTTCAGTGTCAATGACTCTGTAGACAGTCCACGTCTCGCAGGCATATAGCAGGGTTGGGAGGACAATAGCTTTATAAACAAGCACCTTGGTATCCCTACGGATGTCCTGGTCTCAAATACTCTCTGCTTCATTTGGAAAAATGCTGCACTTGCAGAGTTCAGGCGGTGTTGTATTTCAGTGTCAATGTTAACATCTGTAGACAATCCACGTCTCACAGGCGTATAGCAGGGTTGGGAGGACAATAGCTTTATAAACCAGCCTCTTGGTATGCCTACGGATGTCCCGGTCCTCAAACACTCTCTGCTTCATTCTGTACTTGCAGAGCTCAGGCAGTGTTGTATTTCAGTGTCAATGTTGACTTTTGTGGAGAGGTGGCTGCCAAGGGAGTGGAAATGGTCAACATTTTCTAACGTTACACCATTAAGCTGTATCTCTGGCATTGGAAAGGGGTTGGCTGTTGACTGCTGGAAGAGCACTTTGGTTTTCTCGATGTTCAATGATAGGCCGAGCTTCTTGTATGATTCTGCGAAGGTGGGTCCATCACTCTGATCCTGAGAGTCAAGTCCAGTCGATGCAATGCAAGTATCCTCGAAAGAAGGCATGTGCCCAACTCTCAGCAGGCAAGACCATGCTCACACGATTTTGAGACCAGCACGGAGTAGGTTTGGTGGATTTCCAAGGGGACCATGATCCTTGGGGCAGACTAGACTTCACTGCTGCGGACATTGCAGGAGGCCTTCAAAAATATGGGACAATGTGGCATGCTCACCAAAGGTGTCCACCTTCTGCAGAAAATACAACTCACCTGTTGTCCAAATGGAAGAAGCATGCTCTTCTGGCTTTGGAATTCGACCTCATCCCCCTTATTCACTCCACCTCGCACCATCGGACTTCCACCTCTTTCCAACAAGGAAGTTCTTTTGGAAGGCCAAGCATTTCTCAGATGATGAGACTCTGATTTCCGAAGTACCTTTTGGAGCAACCTGTTGACTTCTCCAAGCGAGGTGTTGAGAGTTGCTTCCAAAGACGGGGGAAGTGTGTGTCCCTGGAGAGAAAGACTCAGAACTGGGCCAAGTTTCGTTGTTCTCCGTCCACAGGAAGTGGGTCAGGGGACATCTTTCATGAATGCCCCTCGTAACTTGATCACGCCTAGAGGAGACCGGTAGCCAAACCAAGGAAGTCGAGACCCGCTCTGCCTGTTGATCCTGTTCCAAGCACAGTCCAATCCCCACTCTTAGAAATCCAGAACAGCACAAAATCCGAAAGCAAAAAAATAAATAATAATAAAAATAGACAATAACTGCTAGTCTTCCTCGCCTGGCCCTGTCCACATGGCACAACCCCCACGTTCCCTTTTTCTGTACAGAACCCAGATTTCTATTTAGTTGAATTTATTTTGCTTACGAGAAGAACATAAAAATTTATTTTATTTTTATTTAAGATAGGGGAGGGGTTGGAACCACCCCGCGAATACCGGACCCCGATCCCGTCGTCTGAAATGTGGAATCCCGTTCCGTTCCCCCTGCCGTGGCCGCTGTGCACCGTACTTCCTTTCTCCCATCCTCCTCAAAATGGAGGGGGCGTCCCTGTCCCCCATTTGCATGGCGGCCCCCCGTTTTCCTCTCCACACGACTGTCTGGTCCTATGTGTCGCTACGTCACGTCACGCCGTGTTCACGCTTGCCCACCGTCTCTTGCCAGTGCCTGCTGGTTGCTCGCCCCGGCCGTCTCCTTCTCCGACATGTGCCCTTTCTCTATGTCCTGTTGCCTGAACTATTTTCTGGATTTGTTTTGTTTTGTGTTGTGTGTATTTGTGTTTCCTTTTTCTTAAAAAAAAAGTTATTTAAAAATTGCTGGAAAAAGATGTGCAATTATTTTGGGGGAACGGGACGGGGACTGTCACCGAGATCCTGGGTTCGACGAACGTTCGTCCTCTCCAAAGTCAAAGCTGACGGGACACTGACTTTAAGAGTTGGGCCAAGACTTAACAACATGAAGTTCCCACAGGGAAAATGAATAGTACTCCACATAGGGAGAAAAACGTGAAGTGCACAGATATAGGATGAGTGACACCTGGTTTGAAAACAGTCCATGGGAAAGGGATCTTGGGAGTCTTAGGAGACCACAAGCTGAACCAGACATTTGTATTACATTTTTAACAAAAACAAACAACCAAACAGACAAAACACAAAGTTTGCAAGCTTGGTAGTTGATTAAATGTCCTTTGACCAGTATCTGGCCACTTCGAGTGCTTCTGGTGTTGCCGCAAGAAGGTCCTCCATTGTGCATGTGGCAGGGCTCAGGTTACATTGCAGCAGGTGGTCAGTGGTTTGCTCTTCTCTGCACTCGTATGTCATGGATTCAACTTTGTAGCCCCATTTCTGAAGGTTGGCTCTGCATCTCGTGGTGCCAGAGTGTTCAGTGCCTTCCAAGTCGCCCAGTCTTCTGTGTGCCCAGGGGGGAGTCTCTCATTTGGTATCAGCCATTGATTGAGGTGCTGGGTTTGAGCCTGCCACTTTTGGACTCTCGCTTGCTGAGGTGTTCCAGCAAGTGTCTCTGTAGATCTTAGAAAACTATTTCTTGATTTAAGTCGTTGACGTGCTGGCTGATACCAAAGGGATGAGCTGGAGATGTCACTGCCTTGGTCCTTTCACTATTGGCTGCTACTTCCCGGCGGATGTCAGGTGGTGCAATACCGGCTAAGCAGTGTAATTTCTCCAGTGGTGTAGGGCGCAGACACCCCGTGATAATGCGGCATGTCTCATTAAGAGCCACATCCACTGTTTTAGCGTGGTGAGATGTGTTCCACACTGGGCATGCATACTCAGCAGCAGAGTAGCACAGCGCAAGGGCAGATGTCTTCACTGTGTCTGGTTGTGATCCCCAGGTTGTGCCAGTCAGCTTTCGTATGATATTGTTTCTAGCACCCACTTTTTGCTTGATGTTCAGGCAGTGCTTCTTGTAGGTCAGAGCACGGTCCAGAGTGACTCCCAGGTGTTTGGGTGCGCTGCAATGCTCCAGTGGGATTCCTTCCCAGGTAATAATCCTCAGAGCTCGGGATGCTTGTCTGTTCTTAAGGTGAAAGGCACATGTCTGTGTTTTAGATGGATTAGGGATCAGCTGGTTTTCCCTGTAATAGGCAGTAAGAGCACCTAGAGCTTCGGAGAGCTTCTGTTCAACCATCTCAAAACTCCCTGCTTGAGCAGTAATGGCACGATCATCAGCATAGATGAAGCTCTCTGTCCCTTCTGGCAGTGGCTGGTCATTTGTATAGATGTTGAACATGGATGGAGCAAGGACACTCCCCTGAGGCAGACCGTTCTTCTGTTTCCGCCATCTGCTTCTCTGGCCCTGGAACTCAACAAAAAAGCTCCTGTTTTGTAGCAGGTTTCCTATGAGGCGGGTGAGATGGTAGTCCTTTGTGATATTATACATTTTTCTCAGGAGGAGGCGGTGGTTTACGGTATCATAAGCCGCTGACAGGCTATGAAGACAGCTCCTGTGATCTGCTGCCTTTCAAAGCCATCTTCTATGTGTTGAGTCAGGTTCAGCACTTGCGATGTGCAGCTTTTGCCTTTCCTGAAGCCAGCTTGCTGTGGGATCAGACAGGGGTCTATTTTTTCCATAAGCTGAAGATGAGTCAACGGTGTAATGCGGCAGCTAAAAAAGCCAACCCAACTCTGTTGTTGTTGTTGCTGATTCGTTCAGTCGTTTCCGACTCTTCGTGACCTCATGGACCAGCCCACGCCAGAGCTCCCTGTCAGCCGTCACCACCCCCAGCTCCTTCAAGGTCAGTCCAGTCACTTCAAGGATGCCATCCATCCATCTTGCCCTTGGTCGGCCCCTCTTCCTTTTCCTTCCATTTTCACCAGCATAGGCTACATCAATAGATGTATAGTGTCTAGATCTGTGTCCAGATGTAGCCCCTTGGGCTCTTTTCTCAGGCCCTCCTCTTTCTCCCCATCCTATCCTTCCTTCTCTCTTTCTTTCCTCCTTCCCTCCCTCCCTTGTTCTCCTTCCCTTCCAGCCTTTCGTCCTCCTTCCTTCGTCCCACATTACCGCCCTCTTTCTCCCTCCCTACTTTCACTCTTTCCTCCTTCTCCTTTTCTACCCTTGTTCCCTCTTTCTCCTTCCCTCCTTTTCTTCCTTCTCCCCTCCTTTTCCTCCCTTTCTCCTTCCTTCTCTTCCTTCCTTCTTCCCTTTCCTTCCCCCTTTCTTTCTCCTTCCTTCCTTCCCTTTTGTCTTTCCTTCCTTCCTCTTCTCCTCCACCCTTTTCTCCTTCCTTCCTCTTCCTTCCTTCCTTCTCCTTCCTCCTTCCCTTTCACCTTTCATCCTTCCCTTCCTTCCTCTTTCTTCTCCCTTTCTTCTTCCTTCCTTCCTTTTCTTCCTTCTCCTTCCTTCTTCCTTCCTCTTTCTCCCTCCCACCTTTTTGTTTCCTCCTTCCTTCCCTTTCTCTTTCCCCTTTCTTTCCTTTATCCTTCCTTCTCTCTTTTCTCTCTCCTCTTCCCTCTTCCCTTCCTTACCCCCCTCTTTCTCCTTCCCTTCCCTTTCACCCTTTCCTCCTTCCTTCTCTCCCTTTTCCCTCTCTTTCTCCTTCCTTCCTCTTCTCCCTTTCTTCCTTCCTCCTTCCCTTTCCCCCTTTCCTTCTCCTTCTCTCTCCTTTCTTTTCTTCTTCCTTCCTTTCTTTCCTCTCTCTTTCCTTCTTCCCTTCCTTGTTCTCTCTCCCATCCTTTTGTCCTTCCTTCCTCCTTCCCTCCCTCCCATCCTTCTTTCTCCTTCCTTTCCATCCTTTGATCCTTCCTTCTTTTGTCTCTCCTTCCTCTTTCCCCTCCCTACTTCCCTTTCATCCTTTCCTCCTTCCTCCTTTCCTCCCTTGTTCCCTTTCTCCTTCCTTCTCTTTTCTTCCTCCCTTCTCGCTGTCTCCCTCTCACCTTTTCATCCTTCCTTTCTTCCTTCTCTTTTTCCTTCCTCCT